CCCCAAAACCCCAAAACCCCATAAGGCTTAATAATATGTTGCGGTAGAAATTAAAGATTATCTCTAATTATTAAAAAATTATTGAAAATGATAACTAAGACTTTATTATTGCGTAAACAATTTCACCATAGTTTCAATCTAGCCAAGCAGCTTTAAATGAGATGCTTCTCTATTGAACTCTCATCTCCTAATAAAAACTTGGATAAAGGTTAGACTATAGAATTTATAAAGTTTATAGAGTTAGTTGTGTCTCTTTCAAAGGGTGGTCATCCTCTCTATTTTGATAATCAAGCCACAACACCTGTTGATCCAAGGTACCATTATGATCATACTGAAATCTTTTTGTAGGGTATTAGATGCTATGCTTCCATTTTTGACTGGTTAATTTGGAAATCCACACTCTAGGTCTCATTAATTCGGTTGGGATACTGAGAAGGCTTGTGAGGATGCAAGATAGGTAAGCCTCTAATTAAAGTGATTGATGGTCAAATATATAGAACATTGCTGACTTAATTGGGGCATCAGCAAAAGAAATAGTATTTACATCTGGTGCTACTGAAAGCAACAACTTGGCTTTAAAGGGTGTTGCACACTTTTATAAAGATAAGAAGAAGCATATAATCACTTCATAGATTGACCACAAATGCGTGCTGGACAGTTGCAGAAGACTAGAGGATGAAGGGTTTGAAGTCACTTATTTGCCAGTTCAGTAAAATGGTATTGTTGATTTAAATGAACTTGAAAGAGCGATCAGACCTGACACTGCAATACTTTCTATGATAATGGTTCACAACGAAATCGGAGTAATTCAACCAATTAAGGAGATAGGCTAAATATGCAGAAAGAATAAAGTATTTTTCCACACAGACGCTGCATAGTCAGTAGGGAAAATTCCAATTGACGTCAATAGTTTAAATATCGATTTAATGTCAATCAGTGGTCATAAACTGCACGGTCCAAAGGGTATTGGCGCATTATATATAAGAAGAAAGCCCAGAGTAAGGATAGTGGCTTAAATGAGTGGAGGTGGTTAAGAAAAAGGAATGAGGTCAGGTACCCTTGCTCCACATCTAGTAGTGGGTCTAGGTGCAGCAGCTAGAATTGCGAAACTTGAAATGAATAATGATACAAAGCACATTACAAAGTTAAACTCAAGATTCATTGATGGACTTAGATCTCAGCTTTCCCACATTGTTATCAATGGAGATGAAAAGCAGAGATACCTTGGAAATTTGAACATCTCATTTTCATGTGTTGAGGGAGAAAGTCTTATAATGGCAATCAGTGATGTTGCTGTGTCAAGTGGTTCTGCTTGCACAAGTGCTAGTTTAGAGCCTTCATATGTCTTATGAGCTATAGGAGTCGAAGAAGATATGGCTCATACCTCACTTAGAATTGGATTCGGCAGATTCACTACTGAAGAGGAGGTTGACTTCACAGTTAATTTACTTGTGAAAGAAGTCAATAGATTGAGAGCAATGAGTCCTCTGTGGGAAATGATTAATGAAGGAATCGACATCAAGAGTATTCAATGGACATAACACTGAAACTATTTACATTCTTAATCTACCTTTTGATAACACAATTCCTTGTTTGACAACAATAAATATCTTAATTTTGATAATACAATATATTAAAAACTATCTAATTAATTTATCATGCTCATGTTATAGCTTTATTTTACAAATTACATTAATGACTACTCAGAAACTCAAAATAAGTAAAATTAATCATAGAACTAAGTTGGATTCTGAAATGTTTACTCAGCATCAACCAGACCTCAAGGATCTGAAACTGGTCGGTAAAAAGACTTATCAAAAGTAAATTAATCTCAAATGTAATTGACTTATATATAGACTTGAGTATCAGCAGGAAAGCGGTTCATAGTAAATGATGTACTTAGACAAAATAAAATAAATTCACAGTCAAAAGAGATAAAATACAGCCTAGAATCATCAACGATAAAAGAGTGATATTAGTCATCTCTTAGAATCGAAGAAGACTCCAGATCTAGTATTTACCAATCACGATCATACCTTCAATGGCCAAATTATGCAATCTCAACTCTTTGATTTTAGCAATAGAGATGATATAACTCCTCCTTAAAACGAGCAAGAAGAAATCAAAGAGGAGCTAGATGATTTTACTGATCAAATAAAAATAATCAAGGATTCTATTAAGGAATAGAAGAGATAAGCTCGCTTAAGTAAACTTGCAAGGTCTAGTTCTGCCAATTAACTAAGTAAATAACACTAAATATAAGATATTTATAGATCAAAAGGCAGGATAGAAAAGAATCAAGTTTATGGTTCCATCAATTGAAAGTCAAAACTTTCCTGAGAAGATTGAGTATCTCTAAGAATATCGAAAGAAACTCATATTATTCTAGAACTCAAGATAAGTCTCGACGTTGATTAAGACTCAATTGAAAGAGCAAGAGCTGAAAAGTAAACGAGAAGGATATTATCTATCAGGATAGTCCTTTAATAATTAAGTCAAATTACAACAATAACAGCAGGAGTTTTAAAAGCAATAGCGACAGTAACTTTACAGAGATTTGTATTAAATGCAGGAAAGCCATCATCCGTTGATACACTCAATAAAGCTGTCAAATTCTCAATCACTCTAAAATATTAACTAGATGAATAATTCATGTTCTAAAGATCATATTAAGTCACATTTGAATATTGATAAACAATTTGTGCACAACTTAAATATGTTGACTAAATCCAATTCTTCTACCTCTAGACTACTATTTAAGCAGATTTATCATCAATATAAAATGAAGAAATAGTAATAGAATAGATCCTAAAGCAATGGAGATTTCAATTATAATCCTGGTACATTATTTATAAACTCTCTTGATCCTCAGAAACTCAAAGATTCATTTTTTAATGGATATGGCAGATCAATCAATCCAACACAACATACTTCACCAGAAGTTAGGGACATGCTTAAAAATATGGATGACTCTCCATTACGTAATCTTATTATAAGACATTCGAGAAATAAGACAATGGATTAAATTGCTGATCTAAATAAGATCACTTTTAAGTACAAAGAGCCCCCTCAGTAGAAAAATTTCAAACCTAAAAATGATTCTAAGTTCATAAATTAGACAATTAATGAGTATAAAAGGTACAACAAAAATATTCAGGATTACATTCCACCTACTTATGATCATAGAAGTTTGCTGTACAAGCAAAGACTAGAGTAAAGTAGACAATTCAATATGACTGAGAGCAGTAGGATTCATGATGCGAATACCACACTGAATAATAGCAATGAAAGAAGATAAATGATGACAAGAGCAAATAACACAGCTAATAATACTTAGAGATTTAGACCGGAAGAAAATCCCGAATTCAAGCAATATAGGGACAATGTGATAAAACTAAGACCGAGCGCTTCAGCTATAAATTTATCTAACAAGCAGAGTGATCAAGATTAAAAGATGAAAAGAGTTAGGCTAATTAAAAAGATAGATTCCCCATAATATGATAACGGAAACGATATGAATCTAAATACGGATTTCCCCTCTGTTTTTGGAGTTGAAGAATAGCTAAATGAGAAGCCGGATTAACAGAATATCGATTTATAAAAATGAGAAATTTAAGAACTTTAATTAGTTAACTTATTATTTAATTTATTCGATTAATATCTTAACTTAAAAATGAGAGCTTCAACATCTTAGATTAATTTAGGCTTAAGAAACGATCTTAGATCAATTCTTTAAGGCAGAAAAAAGGAGCAAGAGTATGCCCTCAATAAAAATTATAGCCAGTTTGAAACCACATACCATAAGGATTTCAAAGATAACAGTTTAACTAGACTGTAACAGGCTACTGAGACTTAAGATAGTCAAACTAAGAAACTTCTTGGACATTCTTAATCAGTTATGGGTTTATAATAGGAAAGAGTTTAAATATTGAATGAATACATGAAAGCAAAAAAGAGAGCTACTCATAGAAATATTTAAACATTCCAAGCAAGCCGTAGTGAAATCAAGAACCTAAAGTCACCTCAACCATAAAGAGCTGAGAGCTAGTTGAAAGTTCATAAAACAAATAATGAAGGGCAGAGCTAATAAGTTATCGAAAATTATTTCAACAAAACAATTAAATCTCCTTAAGTTGAATCTAGAAGCTAAAACTTATTGGAGGAATCTGATTACAATCATTTAAATGGCCATTAAGATTCAGATAAGCATAATCATTAACATCATCATTAACACCAACATCAACACCAGCATCAACAACACCAGCATCAACATCAATAACATCATCATGATCATCAGAGGATAAACATACATTAATACAATAATGTAAATTTACCCAGAACACACTCTTTAATGCAACACAGAAGTGCCTCAGAGACTAAATTACTGAAGCAAGCCTTCCCAAAGAAGCATAAATACTTAATTGATCATATCGATCATATGCAAAATTGCCCTTAACTAGTATGTGTTTGCTGCTCGGCCAAGACTGGAGATCATTTCGTGCCATTTAGGTACCCTACTAAAATTGGGACTGTTTATGAAAAGACTTTTACCAAGGAAAATAATGAAAAAGGAAAGAAACCTGATATGTTTATTCTAGATAATGAAAAGGTCTTCGGAACCAAAGTGAGATCTGGCTAACAGTACAATTCAACTCAAAGAGTAACAGATAAAGCCGTTTAACTTATTATACTTATAGAATGATTACAAGGTATTTACTGTTAAACCTGTTTACGTAGGAGAGAAGAAATATAAAGATCATATGCTTTATGATGAGAATGGAAACAGGAAGCCTCACATTGACTTCGTTGCTAATTCATCATACAGACAAAATTTTATTGATCATAACTTGGCAGGGCAATACCATGAGAAAAATCCAATTTTTCCATTTTACTCTCTGCCTTTCAAGGATAAATCATCCTATTAAAAGACATATAATAATCTGAAGCAGCCACTGCAAGAGGAAAAAGAATTCGATAAGAACCTTCTCGAAGATAATGCAAGAAAAGGGAAACAAGGGTAATTACTAATATTGTTATTTATCATTTAGGAGAGTTCTTCAGCAAGATCTACCATTCTAGTCAACTACTACTAACAGAAAAACCTATTCAAATATTAAGCCTTATGACTTTGCTACTCCTAAACCACCTGTAGTTCAAGTAATACATATACTTTTCAATTTAATCAATCATTTAGGCGGTTACTACTCATGCTTTCCAAGAACACTTCTAAAGCTTGAAGCAAAAAGACTTTAATGGTAAAATCAAACCAATTTGCGAGATTACCGATATCAAGCATAAATTAATGAATGGAACACTTTCTTGTCCTCATCCATTCGAAATGACTTTATGATTTAACATTCATTTTATTTAATTTTTCAATCAATTTCAAAATTTTCATAGATGGGGTTTTGGGGTTTTGGGGTTTTGGGG